AAAGTCCTACATATGACTTTCGATTCTGTTTAAGAGCATTTGAACCTTCGTGACGTCACAAATCATGGCGCATGACACGCAAACTTCTCAGGTATGTGAAAAGCACAATTTTGAATATTTTTTAAAAAAACCTTTTGGAAAATGTTCAGAGAAACATTGACTATGTCTGTTATGTGCGAAAAATTCAAAATTTTGCGTATAAAACGTTTTTTAAACAATGTTTAAGTTGGTTGTCACAAGTAAGGAAAAATACACGAATTGCTTATATGTAGGCATTGTTTAAAAAACGTTTTAAACGCAAAATTTTGAATTTTTCGCACATAACAGACAGAGTCTGTGTTATTCTGAATATTTTCCAAAAGGTTTTTTTAAAAAATATTCAAAATTGTGTTTTTCACATACTTGAGAAGTTTGCGTGTCATGCGCCATGATTTGTGACGTCACGAAGGTTCAAATGCTCTTAAAGATTTTAAAAATGAATTTAAAAATTAAGTTTCAGAAATTTCCTTCAAAAATTACATTTTTTCCTTTATAGGAGGACTATTGCTATAAACAATAGATCAAAGAACTAAAACACGACCAACATCAATGAAACTACGTCATTAAATTTTTTTTTTGGCGAAATAAAGTTCGCTCAAGCTAAAATTAATATGTACGAAATTAAGCAATCTAATTGCACAAATTAGAGTATGCGGTGCATCCAACTCACTGAATTCGAATCACGTCACTGGTTAAAAATGCAAGTTTGCATAAATGCAATTAGCAATAACAAAGTTCATTAAACTTAATATAAGTTTTCCCGCACCATTTATGTCTATTAATAAAATCAATCGACAGAGGTATTTTTGGTATAGTCTCCGCGAGTGAGACAGGTGAAACAACCCTTTAGACTAGAGGTTGTTTACCGAGTAAAATGAAGGAGTTGTTGAAGTGGTTAAAGTGATATAGTAAAGACAAAGATAAAAGTTAATTAAATTGAGAACTGATTTGATAGAAGATTAAAATAATGATTTGAAATATTGTTAATATTTGAAGATTGCAAGAATAGAAATGTAGGGGAGACACACACCGCTGAATATTTAAAAATCATCATTCGGTTAAATTTTTTGAATAGGATTGTTATTGGTGTCTATTAATGTGTAAATTTCATATAATCAACTTCATTTTATTAATATTTAACGAAATTTTCAGATAACCGCGCCACCTAACCCCGAATGTACTTTTGAAATATTTATTAATTTTTTATAAAAACTGTTAATATAAATGAAAAAGTTTTGTTTGTTTCTTAATAACAAATGTATAGAGCTCAAAACTTAATATTTGAAGTCTTCTAAAATTAATTTTTTAAAGAGATATCACAAAAAAATGAAGAGGTTAAAAAATTACTTTGGAGTGCCAAAAACAGTTATTTTAATCTATACTCCACAATAATTAATGAATATTAATGAAATTTTGTACAAACTTACAGTTCATCAAGTACTTTAAGCAGAATAAAGAGAAAAATTAATGTAACTTAACACTTTTGAATAAACTCAAGTGCACCAAGCAACCCCTGTGCCAAACAGCCTCGGTCTCCCCTATTAATGATTTTGAAAAAGAAGATAAAGATTTGTGATTGAATTAAAAAATTTTAAGACGTTTTTTTTAATTATTTGAGAATTATTTTTTTCCTTTTCCATAGTTGTACTTTCTAAATTTGAAGCAGTGAGTTTGCAATTATGAAATAGTTGGAATTTATCAATATTGCAAATAAAACAAATATACTTGTAAATAAACAATTATTTATAAATATTAAATATGAAAACAAATAATTATGTATAAAATAAATGTTAATAACAATTAATCATATAATTAATATTGTAATGTAATATAAATGAATGTTTAAACATATAATGTCAATGAATGAGAAAATCATGATTAGTTCATATAATCAATATGTAAAAAATAGATAATTTTCTTAAATTATATAAGAATGTTATATTCTTGATCGTTAATGTTGTGAAAAACAATCTTCAAATGCGGAAATTAAAATACGTGAGTCATTACTACTAAGAAGAGGGTCTTCAGCACTTTTTACGTCTGTGAGGTCCCGTCCTAGAAAAAAAAAAACCTTCATAGACTAGCTGGTACCGCCGAAAGATTCACATACAAAAAATGTTTCTATATAAAGGGAAACCTTTCACATTGAAGGCATTTCGGGACGTTCTTTGTCAACCGGACTACCCCATTTCTCCATAATTGGTTTAATTTAAAAAAATTTTATCATTTTGGAAAAATTAGCTTGGAATGTATTGAGCTGAAGAACATAACCTTAATTGTTTAACGGTTACAAAAACCAATTTATTAAAGTTTGTTCAAATTTTAATCATTACCAATCGAAAGAGCATAAAAAAATGTGTCAGAATCCATGAGTTTTAATCCAAATTTGATGTCGGAAAGATATGAAAAATCAAAATTTAATAAGCACCCGATAACGCAATCCTTAACGTTTGAGAAAGGTTAAATTAATTTTGATTTTTCATATCTTTCCGACATCAAATTTGGAATAAAACTCATGGATTCTGACACATTTTTTTATGCTCTTTCGATTGGTAATGATTAAAATGTGAACAAACTTTAATAAATTGGTTTTTGTAGCTGTTAAACAATTAACGATACGTTCTTCAGCTCAATTTGGAATGTCTACTTTATAATCCCGTTGGGCGCTTTTTGAAATTCAAAATGGCGACTTAAATATGGCGCCTAAACGACATAAAAAACACAAAAAATCCACTAATATGATCTATATTATTGTTTAAAGCTTCACATATGACGATAATAATAACCACAACATAGTTTACAAACAAACTGATAACGTATCTCCATTTAAAATTCAAAAATTCAAAATGGCGAATTAAATATGGCGGATAAAATTAAAAATTGAGCTAGACTCGTAAAAATTACTACTTGGGGGTTTTCGAGGTCGCTGGTTACAAATTTGATGTCAGTTTTTAAAAATAATAAATGGCGGATTCAAAATTGCGGACTCAAAAATTTAAAAAATTGAGCTAATTTCGTAAAAATGTCTACATAGGTATTTTTTTCGTCGCTGATTACAAATCCGATGTCAGTTTTAAAAAAATTTTAAATGGTTAATGACAAATCTCTATTTAAAATTCAAAATGGCGCATCCAATATGGTGGACCATCGAAAAAACAACTTTTACGAGCGGTCGTAAAGTTTCTATAGAAGAGCCAATCTTAGGAGACCAGGTGTTATAAGAAGATAAAATTAGAGACCCATCAATACACGTATTAAGGTAATAATACAACACCTTATAAAAAAAAGGATTATATGATTGTTCTTTTAAACAATTATTAATAAATCAAGAAAATATCATTCTTATAATAAATAAATAATCTTTTGTTTAATTATCATTTTGTTCATTCATTTAATAACATCTCCCCAACTTAGTTTCTTTAACTAAATTAAATTGAGGGATTAGAGTAGGCAATAATTATAAGTTCTAAGATTAGGGAAAATTAATAGTAATTAAAATTTTGAATTAAATAATTCGATATAACAATACAGACGTGACAATATATCGATTTTATAATAAATACTGTGTCAAGTGTTCTTCTCTGTGCGTGAAACTATATTTGTTGGACTTACAAGTAACACTACCCAAGTGCCACGTTCAGATTGATTTTTAACCATATACGTCTTAAAGATATTTTTTTAGTGACTGCGATGTTGATTTAAGGGATGAAAGTAGGGGTTGAAATATTCAATTTTTATTAATCTAATAAGACGAACTGACATGCTTAGTGGAATAATTCATGAAAATGAATTTCCAGTCGATTTTTCTGTAATTTTGGAATTTTATAGTTTTTGATATTCTGAACGACTTTTCCCCTTTGTCAATTTCGTAAAACACTGTCATTTATTTCTTCATCATCATTTTTTATTTAAAAATTTTTAAATGGTCAAACTAAAATGACGATAAAAATGTAAAGCACAAAGTTGTATTTGGTAATGTTTTAAGATGAAAAATTTGTTGGATTTGAAGTCCTAGCTGATTCTGTTTTCGAATTATTATAAAAATATACGGTTTTAAGAAGCTTATGCAATAAAATACAATATTTAATATCCTAATACACAGTGGTCTTAAAAACAGAGGCAGGTTTTATGAAAATGGATGAAAGATTTTCCAACGAAGAGTTTTCCCAGAAAAGTTCTAGATTTTCAATCTTTGAAATTTTACCTGATTCTATTTTAAAGATAGAGTGATTTTATGTAATTAAGATCTAGTTAAAAGTATTAAATTACTTATTTTGACTTTGAAGGTGCTTATGTTATTTAAGACAAAAGAGTTAAGCTAATTTTTATTAAATTATGAATAAGAAAATTTTCATAGACACTTTCATAAAGTTGTTGATTCGTTAATGACATCTATAGAAGGTCATTCAACCAATAAAAGGTCATTGTTTCAGTCAATGTAACTTTTGATAAAAAAAAACAAATGAATCAAATCTGTCAACTATTAAGTTTTTTTTATAAAGACACCCGTACTTTGTGCTGTGAAAAATTTAGTTTTTTCATACGAGTAGATTGGCACAAAAGTTTTTTTTATCATTCTTCAAATGCCATCAGCATTGTCATACGGCTATAATGTTTTTTTAATGGACAATACCAAATCTTGTTCTCACAAAAACATCAGACATTTTATGAAGCAGGTGCGAAGCAAAAAAAGTGTCACTCGTGCCTTTAAATTTCCTTAAAATAAGTAGCAAACGTAAAAAATAATCTTTATAAATTTATGTATTCGAAAGGCAAGCGAATATACATACTATAAAGTCATAAAGTACTTTTTTTCTGATTATTTAATAATGTATTTATATTTTTTAATTTTCTCACTGATACAATTGAATATGCTCTTTTTTTTCTAAAATTTGTCTTTAACATGCACAAATTGACATTTATACATTTCGTGCAGGTATGACAAGAAATAATTTACATACGTAGGAGTTTGATTAGAACCTATTCCACCAATTGTAGCCTGTGTGTCAAGTTTAGGTGTTCTATTTGGTGTTTTAGTAAATCCTGGTTGAATTGCAGGATCAGAAACCATTCGTACAAAGAAGGCTCTTCTCTGTTCTAAAGTTGCTTTCCTCTTCTTTTCTCTAATATCAGCTAATTCATCCATAACGTCCTATAAAAAAGTATAATGTTTAATATTCACAATATATTTAAATTAGAAGTTATAAAAAAAAATTTCTTCTATAAATTCGGCTAAATGGAAATTTAATTAAATAAAAAAGTTGATTCAATATAATTATAATAATCCCTTAGACCTTATAAAATTTTGATAAATTCAAACTAACTAACCCCCTTTTTTGCTAAAAGAATTCGCTTATGGATTGCATTAATTTTCTGCAATTTTTTTTAGTGGAATAAAAAAGAGAAAAATAAATATAATTAGAGTAGTATCCAAATTAAAAATATTATCCTCTTAATCCATAATGTTAAAAATTTCCATCTGTTGTTAAAAAGTTTTATTTTAATATCCTCCTCCCAAAACCAATCCGCCACCAATAATTAGTTTTCGGTTAAATGTTTACTAATCATTAAATCGCTTACCAAATTGATGTAAACGAAAAATCCAAGATCAAGAGTTGTTCAATTAGTGAACATTATGTCAGATTTACAATAAAGTTGAATTTTTAAATTGTTGAAATTATTTTATATTTATTATTTGAAATTTTAATTATAGCAATTAATTTGTAACATTATTGAATTAGCTATGTAAGTAACAATTCAATATAGTACTAAATTAATTATACCTAAACTAATTAATTTTAATTGGTTTCAATAATATTCACGGATCAAATCGAATATGAAATATTTAATCTAATATTTAAAATTAATGACTGTGAAGAATGTCAATTATATAGTTATTCTTCTTTTTAATAAAGCAGTGCTGTCAGCTTTTTAATACTAATTTAAAATTGATTTATTAATTGAAAATAGTTCAATATTTAACTTAACGATATCCTGCATTTATTACTAGATTGACGAATTCTTATATTAATTAACTACTTGATGCTTTGTCCTATTAATAATAGAAGTCTGACTGTTTCATAAATCCCCACAGATGGTTCTCTTTCATATAAAACAATATAGCGTGCCTATAAAGTAATGCAAAAAATAATAATTTTCATAAATTTCTTCGCTTTCTTCTGTTTTATTTTATTTTATTTTTTAATTTTACAGTAAACAGTCTCCTTCCTCCTAAATTTGCACAATTTTTTTTTAGTGCTTTTATATACAAAACACATTTTTTGTATTGAATTGGAATTTAAAATTGTTGAATTATGATTATAATTTAAAAGATGTGATATTGTAAAAAATAATAGTTACATAAGTAAAATTGTAAATTACCTTAGATTCTAGAAGTTCTGATAAGTAGTCCGTGATTACGCCCCACGCAATATCTATTAAAAGTAAATTCCTTTAATGACGATACAATATAATTATTTATAAAACGAAATATTATTCATTCGAGATGAATCGTTTTTTATGTACATATTTCAATAAAAAAAAAAGTTTAGATAAAAACTTTTCATTTGTAATTATTTTGATTTTTAATCAAGAATATTTCAGAATTACAATCGACTTACTGATTATCTAAAAATCATCTCCGAATGATTGTATTAATTAAAATTTATAATTTTAAATATTCTTTTGAACTGCGGACAATTTTTTTCTGCTTTGAATATGATATTTTTAAATACAGAGAATTATATTAATTATAAATTGAATCTTTAACGTTCCATGATTAGAAATTCAAAGAAAAATAATGAAACGAAAACGAGACATTTTTTGAATTCTATTATACTAATAATTGTTTGCAATTATTTAACAAATGCATTAGCAAATAATTACCAACATCCTCGTTTGTAGCATTTGGAGCAGCTAGAGCAAATCGTATCGTATATCTTTGGTTAACTTTTGCTGGAATCATGTGTATTTTTCCAGAGTCATTAATTGCACTCAATAATTTTTGATTTAATTTATCAGATCCCTTCGCTCGAAAACATACCAGACCCAACTGTAAAATATTTTAGTAATATTTCTTTTTTCGAATATGAACTTTATTACTTAATTCTGAATTTTAAATTTACTCACTACAACTTCGTTGCAAACTTCAAACCTCGAGTCTTTTTTAACATGTGACTCAAAACGTTTTGCAAGCTGAACATGATTCCGAATATACGCTTGTAATCCAGAAATTCCATAGCTTCTAATGACAAACCATAATTTTAATGATCTAAATCGCCTACTCAGTGGTATACTCCAATGCCTGTGAATAATTATTTTTTTGTTCAAATTTAGTTACTAATACAATGATTTTCAAAAAAAATTTTGATTAAAATAATAAAGGAGTCACTTTCCTTTAATTTTATTTGCTTTAATTAAAAGCGAATACTTCAATTTTTTAAACTAAATATAGAAAAATTGATTTTAATGAAATTTTTTCTGTAGAATAAGAAAAATTTTTGATTTTAAAAAAATAATTGCAGTACAATTGAATTGCAATTGAATTAATTTAAGAATTAACAACAATCTTTAATTATAATTAAATTACCTATAATCAATTGCTGTGTCAGCGTGAGTATGCTGAAGATAAAGAGGGTCTACAACTAGAGCACTTGTTAGTTTAAACCTGTCTCGAACCCAGAGACAAGAGCAATCGAAATTAGTTAGCAGGAACTTATTAGGATTGGTGTTAACTGAATCTGCGTAGTCGATACCTTCCATAAGGTATTTTAATTCAGGACAAATGAATGCATTACCAGCATAGGCTGCATCGACGTGCAACCAAATCTAGAATTTTAAATTTAAAGTCATTTTATTCTTGATAAAATTTAAAAAAAAAATAATTTTATTTTTAAATAATAAAAAAATGTTTAATTAAGAAGAAAACATTTTCTTAAAATATATACATTTTTAACCATTTCTTAGATATAGAAAATAATTTTGGCTATATTAACAACAAAAGTGAATAAATCTGAAAATTATCAAAAATTTCAAAATTTCAATTTAGTTATTTTTGCTTTAAATTTTTATTGCTCTAAACAAAAAAGTTAAAAAAAAACCTTGTAAAAAGCTTAATAAAAATTGATAGAAAACAACTCAATTCGAATATACATATTCGAGTTGTTTTCTATCTAACATAATATATTGGAGTACCTATTAAATTTAAAAACGATTCTAATTGGATTTCTCTCTTTTAAGTATGGTGTCTATAATTAAATTAATTAGGTTAATTAGGTTTCAAATATATTATACGCATATATGTCCTTTGAATATTCCTGCTAAAACTTTTTGCCTTAAGAATTCTTAAGAATGTTTCTAAATTATATTTTTAAAATAATTACAACAAGCTTTTTTGGGTTAACAGATACAAAATTAAATATAATAAATAAATTAAATAACTTTTTAAAAAAAAAAGATTTTATAATTGTTTGGGTTTATGTTCTTTTCAATATTTTGATGCTAACGACTTCGAGACCAAATTTTCAATATCAGACTTGTTGATAGTTCGTATTATGGTAAAAATAAAAGTGGGGGACCAAATTAACTTCGTGTTATGTATAAAGTGAGATTTTCGTGCTAATGAGGAGTTTATAAGAGCCCATTTCCATTCATCCATGCACTGAGAGAACAAAGTAGTTGAGGCAACGAATAAAATGGTTACGAATACCATTTTAGTTTGTAAACTATACTGCTGCTAATTCGATAGTCAAGAATACCATTTATAGTAGTAAAAAGTTAAATAGTTGTCGTTACCATTTTATTAGTAAGGAGAACTTTTTTTAGTTAGTACCAATAACTAATAAATATTGTAACAGATAACATTTAATTAGTTAACCTTACTAATCAAATAGGTAATTTGATATAATATAATACAGCCGCAATTATTTTATTTAATATTATTCACATTCAAAAAAATATGTTTATTATAAGGTTAATATAACTTTCTTGCTGTACTAAGTAAGATATAAATCTTATATTAAACATATTTTTTGTATGATCCGAATAATAATAAATAAATTTTATAGGTTAGGTTTCTTGGTTAAATTGTCACTTACATTCAAAACGATCTACATAAACTTTGAACCCCTTTGAGATTAATAACTCTCGCAAATCCACGGCACTTTTTTAACACTTAATAAAAGAATTTAGAAATTATATATAAAAAATGTATAAGAACACAAACACAAATTACCACTTTTTCTCACGACATTGCTTCACGAGCATGAGTGTGCTTCATAGTGTTGCCAACCGAATTGCTAACCGCGTTTACTAAAAAAAAAAAAAATGGTAAACCCAACTACTCTGTTAGTTAAACTTTTTCATGGAATTATTTTTGTAGGTGTGGTTATTATTTCTTGTTTACCAATTCTAAATAGTTGCGCTTGACATCGAAAATATTAAAATTCACTAAAAGCGTTACTGAATTTTACTAACTAAATAAACAGGAGAATAAATACCTCCTTTACTAATAAAAAAGTAGTAGTCCCAACCATTCATTTTTCTCAGTGTGTAAATTTAGGATGGATCAAAACAAGCAAATAGTAAGAATTATTTTTTATTTATCGAGTGCACGTTTTCATGTGTGCAGTCTCTTAAGTGCAAGCTACAGCGTTAGTGCTGTAAGCCTAGTGACATCAGACATAGACACAAAAGTGATAAACAAAAGGCTCGAAAGCTCCGTTAAGTAGAGAGCAGAGGATGTAGCAATACTGCTCTCTAAATTTGAATCAGTGAAAAAGTCACTGGTCTCAAATCAGTCGCTAAATTCTAGTTATTTGAATCAGTGGTTTTCTACTGACAGTTAATGATATTTCACTGGAGAATCAATTACTTTGACTGAAAATCAGTGAAATGTTAGGATGGAGGAAGACGTTCTGAAGATGTTTAAAAATTTAGACATTTACAAGAACGTGAACCTAACGATAAAGTATAGGTTAAAAGCCCTTAAAGCCATGATTGAGGCGGCAAAAACTAAACATCAAGAAGCAGATTACAAGAAAAGACGAAGGCTCAAAAGAAGAAGAAAAAAAACACCTCCAGAAAAGAAAAACACAAAGGTAACATAGGCACAGAAGCTACACTGAAAAAAGGGTTTAGTATTAATAATCAAACGTTTTGTTGGTATTTAAGCAACCAAAATTTTTTTGTTCAATCAACAAAATTTTGGTTGTCCCAATCAAACTTTAGTTAGGACAACAAAAATCCTTTTTTCTAATTTTAGTTGTGTCAAACAAATTTTGATTGAGAAAATTAAAATTTTGTTGATTCAACAAAAAAATTTTGGTTGCTTAAATACCAACCAAACGTTTGGTTGTCAATACCAAACCCTTTTTTCAGTGTACAACATTCTGTACAAAAGAAGTAAAAATGCGGCAGCAACGATGATTATCCGAGTAGCATAAGGATTTTTGTATGCTGACGTTTCGGGTTAGCTTCGTAAAGACGTCATTCTGAACATCAATTACAATAGCTGCTAGAGCTACGGAAAAGGAAAGAATTTTCTCCAAATTTCAAATGGCCTAACACCTTATAAACCTAAATTCAATTGGTCTAAAAGTCATACGAACTAATTATTACTTTGCCTAACCTGTATATGAAATAATTCTTATTTGGCCTAATCTTGTTTCAGTCTAATTGTAATTTAAACTAATCATCATTTTTGCTAATTCTCATTATTTGGTCTAATTTTAATGTAAACTAATTCTTATTTGACATAATATTTACATGCTCTAATTCTACCTTGGTCTAAATTTTCTGTAACCTAATACTTTTTTTGCCTCATCTTTATCTGACATAATTATTGGTTGGTCTAAACATTATTTGCTATAATTCATATTTGAAATAACTTTCAACTAGCCTAATTATCATTTGGACTAAACGCTGCTTAAGGTAGTTTTTATTTGATCTATTCTTTACATCACCTAATTCTCATTTGGTATAAACATTTTATAACCTAATTGTTCTTTGTTCTAATATTTAAGTGACCTAATTTTTATCTGTTCCATTCTTTTTTTGTCCTAATTCTTATGAGGTCTAAATTTAATATCGCCTAATTCTTATTTGGCCTAATCTTACTATATCCTAATTGTTACTTGTTCTAATATTAATCTAACTTATTCCCAATTGGCCTAATTATTGACATGGTTAATTTTATTAGTGATGCCTTCAACATTTTGTTTGATTACTTATTCGATTTTTGACAAACATTAGGTATTTTTGGATTTAAATTTTATTTAATTTTTAAACTCACTCCAGGATATTTTTTACAAACAGGTCCTATTTCCTTTAAATTATCAAATGAAACACATGCCGTTGTGCCAAGAGTTGTGGAAACGAAAAATGGCACATATCCTTCTGCGACGTCAGCTTCGATTGCCTAAAATAAAAACAACAATAAAAACTGATAATTTATAATATAAATATTTGAAAATCTATTTTCTGTAATTGTTACTAAATTTTGGCAAAGGCTCACGTCATCAACAACTGCTTATAATTATATTCAAAAATAATTGATGGTAAATGAACTGATTAAAAAGAAAATTTACTTTTATTTAAATATCCCTAATTGTAAAAGTTTTAGAAATCACTTTAAAATTGTCGAAGCGTGGTATATTATATATAGTGGGGAATAAAATTTAATTCGTTTTAAAAGGGGGTAATTTTATTTTTTTTTATAACCTGTCGTAAAGTTTCACCCCTTAGCACACTTTTTTCATCGGGTTCCAAAATTCTTAATTTTACGAAGCATATCATTGCGTCTTTTTCAACACAACTATGACTCTCACGACTACAGTAGGCCATTAACTTTCCAAGTAGAGCAGTTTCATCTAAATGTGAATGAGCTGGAGATTCCTTAAGCCTAGCAATCGCCTGTGCTCTTGCAGCCAACATACAAACTAATATACACTCTGATGCTGAACCCTGAAAGAATAATTTATGTTCTTTATTTTATGGATATTTTGTTTATAAATATATTAAATTTAAAAACATAAACCCAATTTCTATTGGAAATATTAATACTCGTATTAATATATAGTTGGCAATTTTCTTTAATCCCTAGGAACTTAAATGCAACACCGTCCGACACCATTTGTACACATAAAAAAATCTATAATTTTCTTAAAGTAGGGATAAAAAGAAATACCCGTGTCTTGCTAGATCAAGTTGTTTACGGGTTTTAGCGGAAAACAGAACCCATAAATGGAAGGTGATAGAATATTTTTTTTTAAAATTGTTGATTTTTTATTAAATTTGGTACATAGAGGTTTTCAAGGGCGTCGATTACGAATCTGATGTTAGATTTTCAAAATTCAAAATGGCGGACCCAAAAATGAGGTCAAGAGTTTTTCAATTTTTTATAAAACTCGGTTTATGGAGGTTTTTTGGTTCGCTAATTACGTACCTGATTATCGGCTACTTTTGGATCTCGGCACATGCGGTCTTCACACGTTACACAACGCATTTAAAACATGAGTAAAGGCTACAGATTGGAAAATTGTTGAATTCTTAAGAACCATATATAATGTTTTTAAAAACTCGACATCTCGAAAGGCTGATTTCACTTACTATACAAGTTCAACTTCTTTTCCACTGAAATTTTGTTCCGTTCGCTGGTTAAGCAATGGACCAGCTGCAAGCAGAGCTCAAGAAGTTTTACCGAAGCTTCAAACGTTCGTAGAAGAGTATGCCAAAGACAAGAAGAAAAATATTTCTTCTGCTAGTTTTAAGAAAATGTCTTCATTCATTACTGATAAATTAATAGGCCCTAAATTGGCATTTTTACAAGCCATCGCTAATGAAATCGAACCATTTTTAAACAGACTATCCGATGGCTCCTTTTCTGCATATACAGATTTAAAAATAATTCTAATAAATTTAATGGAAAAATTTATTAAAAAATAAATTCTTGAAGCAAAATCATTGACTGAAATTGATGTAATGAAATCTGAGAATACTGTTGGAGCTAAAAATCTAAATCTTGGTTACGGAACATGAGAAGCTTTGCGAAAAAGTAAAAATTTCAGAGAAAGAAATGTTGATGTTTAAGCAAGAATGCTTAAGTTTATTGCAAAATATGACAAGTAAACTTTTAGTAAAATCACCTCTAAAATACAAATTTGCCAAAGTCATAACATTCTGTGATCTCTTTATTATTGTAACAAATAAAAAGGCTAGTCTTTTTAGAATTAAGACTCATTTAGAAACTCTCGTCATAAGAAAACGACTCAGCGCAATGAGTGCTGATAAAGCTGAAAAGCAGTTTCAAAATATTATTTCTCAGCCAGTTGCTGTAGATATGATGAAAACTTTTTCAAAAAAGACTGATCGTATAGACACATTTTGGTGTTGCGTTTTGGAAAGGTGCAAAATACAGTAGAATCGGATGTTCTTCTGCAATGTTTAAAAATAATTTTTGTCCTCTTCCATGGAAATGCTAGTGTTGAACATGGATTTTCTCTGAATAAGGAATGTATCGTGGAAAATCAAAATGATGCATCTTTAGTTGCTCAAAGACGTATATATGGGATGCAGTGCAAAATGTGGGAGGAATCGAAAAAGTGCAAATTGATAAGAATATGCTTCATGCTGCTAAAAATGCGCGTTCGAAATATGTTGAATGTCTTAAAAAGAAGAGAATCGAAAATAGCGAAAAGCTTGAGAAACAATTAGAAAAGAAGAGAATGACTGAAATGTTACAAGAATTGGAAGAAAAGAAAAGAAGACTGTTAGAAAAAGCAAATTTATTAGATGACCAAATGAAAAATATTAAGTAATTATTGCATTGGTTAAAATATAGTTTTTATGTGAAAGTTTTATGTATCTAATATGTATTTAAAATGTGTTTTAAAATGTATTCAAATTGTTTAGTTATTGGTAAATAACAATTGTACTTTTAAAAACCTGGAAAAATACACTTTTTGACCTGGAAAAGTCATTGAATTTTGAGATAGCAAAAGCGTGGCAACCCTGTTACGAATCTGATGGCAAATTTTCAAAATTCAAAATAGCGGCTCCAATATGGCGTCAAAAAAATTTTAAAAATTGGTTATTTCTTTTGTTATTTCGTATCTGGAGATTTTCTGGTTCGGAAATTTCAAGTATGATGTCAGATTTTCAAAATTCAAAATGGCGGATTCAATATGGCGTCAAAAAAAAATTTTAATTGTTTATTTTTTTTTGTTATTTAGTATCTAGGGGTTTTCGGGGTTGCTGATTACGAATCTGATGTCTGATTTTTAAAATTCAAAATGGCAAATACAAAATGGGGGTCAAAATTTTTAAAAATTGTTTATTTTTCATAAAACTCGGTATATATAGAAGTTTTCGGGGTCGCTGATTACGAATTTGATGTCAGATTTTTGAAATTCAAAATTTTTCAAAAATATTGTTGTTTTTTTCATTTATGCAAAAAAAGTTTAATTTTGTCGGACGGTGATAATAAATAAATATAAGAGTGTCTCAATTATGTTATTAAAATTTTTCTTGTATTTTACCCTATATAAATTTTGTTTTAAAAAAAGAACAAAAGAAAACTTTTCTTTAATAGTAATTTTTTTTTTCTTTTGCATTATTCGATGATTATAATTTGTTGATAAGAATTTAAATTGTGCTTATATAAATAATATTAGATAATTTAAAATAAAGTCACCTGTATTACACCACCGCCTCTACTTCCTTCACTAAAATACAGGAAGTCGTTGGGTAGACCAATTGCCTTTCCTTTAAATTGAGAAAATGATTGAAGTATTCAACTGCGTTAATTTAATATAGAATAATTAATAGTTAATAAAAAAATTGAACAAAATTTTAGAATTATTTAAGACAAAGAAATATTTATTTGATATAAATATTTCCAATACATATAAATATTTATTTACTTCTAAGATAAATATACTTTGTCTCTATATGTAGAGTGAATAGGAAATTTTTTTTTTTAAAAAGAGGGTTAATCTTACCGAACCAATCACAAACTATCGTCTCCAATTCTGTGCAAGCTGGACTGGCAGCCTAAAATAAATTCAATGAAGATTAAAGCAAATAATTTTTTCCAAATCCATCATTTTTTGGACGTTTCTTATTTACTTCCCCAATTGTCATTGTTATGAAATATTTGATAAAGTGTTACCAAAAAACAAAAATCTAATTTAAAATCATTTAATTTGAATTAATAATAAGTTATGGATAATCAATAATTTTGATTGATATTATATTTATATTTATTCATTAAAAATTTTTTCTTTCAATCAAGCATGCAGGAAAAAAAACTTTTTTTTGTTTTTCTAAAATAATTGTTTGGAAATCAAAAATATAATGAAATTTCTCTTACCCATGAAAATCCGATACATCCAATTGCATCTGATAACATATCACCAAGAATGGAAGGAAAGGAATTTCCAGCAGGAAAATACGCGTGAAATCTGGGATGCTGCCAGTGCGTAATCTGATGGGACATTTTACAACTGAACTATTTCTATACTTGTATACATATACATATATAGTTCTAAAGTAGTAGTAGTAGTAGTAGTAATGAAATTGTACGAGTTTCTTGAAATAACAGTTGTACTTGATTGTTTTTGATTACTTTTTTCTTTATTTTTATTTGCTCTAATAATAAAACTTTCTTCACTATTCGGAGCAATAAAAAGTATGAAAAAAATGAATAGATACTTTTGTCATTATTAAATTTAAAACTTTCTTTTTTTTATCTATCTTTTATTTGATTAAATGAGGTCATAATTGAAAAATTAAATTTTTCCCCCCAAAAAACTAAGAATTTGCAATTTTAATTTTTTTTTTCTGCAAAATACTACAATTCGGTACATTTAAAAAATTTTGAATTAGTGATTTGTGTATAATATTTTTAAAATTTGTCTTTCAGTCAATATCAAGTCGAAGAAATATTTGATAATTAAAAATGCTTCAATTCTGCTTCTGAATTAAATTTTCAAAAATTTATTAAATAAATTTAAATTTAATTTAGGTAGATATTTAATAAATTTATTTATTTTGTGTGATGAGAAAAATGTAATCACATTTGCGTGTAAAATGGTATTTCTTATTTTTAAAATAAAATATTTTTTCAATCTGTTAAACCATAGTCAATTTTTGAAAATTTTTTACAAATATTTCTTTTTAACATACACTACTGGAAAAATTGATTATTTGTTATTTGAATATTATGAAAAAATAAATATTTATTTGGAACAAATTAATATTTTATTTGAATCAAATAAACTGTATAATCAAATAACTAAATAAATTAAAATAAATATACCTTTTTTATTTGACTCAATTAATAATATTTTGATACAAATAAATATTTTTTTTGATAATAGTCAAGTAATCTATTATTATTTATTATTTGAATTAAATAAATTTTTTCAGTGAAAATTTTTCCAATTGAAATTAAAAAATTATAAATTGAACAAAAATTTTTTTTCATTTTTTTTTTAAATTGACAAATTTTTAATAAATTTTAAAACTTACACTATCAATTCAATAATAATACAAGTGAAATATTTAAAAAAAAATCATTTAAAGAAAAATGAATTATTTGAAAAATTCACTTAAAAAATTTAACTTTCATTACAAATCATATATAATAAATATTTTCAATTCAATTAATTAAAAATTAAATTATTTGATAATTTAATCATTTTTAAATTCAATTATTTTAATAAATAAAAACTTTTAAATAAAAATTTTAATTAATTTAAAAAGTTTTATTTTTTTAAAGTTATTTATTGTAAAATTTAATTGTTTAAATCTAATTATTTTTAAGTTATTTAATTTTTCTACATTAAATTATTTTTTTTTTTATTAAATATTCAATTATTTTCTTAATTCAATTGTATTTTTATATTTATGTATCTCATTAATATGTACGGTCATTCGACCTTTTACATTACCCTTTCCCATGAGTATTCAATTGTATATTACGTTCAAGATTTTTCGCTGATAAAATTGTTTGTAATTTTTAATATTACTTTATTTATATTTTTTAAAAATATATTTATATTATATTATATTATAATAAAATAGAAAATTATAATATAATAATTACCAAAATAATAATAATAATAATAATAATAATAATAATAATAATAATAATAATAATAATAATAATAATAACAATAACAATAGTAATAATAATAATAATAAGTTTAATGAATTAACTTCAATTTTATATATTTTTGTCAGTATCTTACATAGAAAATATTTGTTTAAAACACAGATTTATTTAAACAATTTTTTAGTTTAAAACAACAATTTTAAACAAATTTCAAAATAAAATAAAAATAATTTAATGTATGAAAATAATTGAGTTTATAAAACAATATGGTTTAAAAAATTTTTTGAATTTTAAAATAATTTAGATAAGATTTAATAAACTTAAATAATCTTGAATGAAAAAGAACATTTTTTTAAATAACAATAAAAAAATTTTAAATTCTTATTCTTTAATTAATTTCTTTTAAAAAATTGAAAAAAAATTCCTTTTTTTTGCATCGAAATAATATTCTCATTTAAAGAAGAAATTTAGTAGGTAGTATTTCACTTGTAAATTTCTTTTTTCCCCTCTCAATTTTGTAGAATAAATAATTCTTTTTTCTTTTTAAATTCATATATTTATAAATGTGAAAAAAAATTTCAATGAAAGAAGAAAAATTGCATTTTATTATAATTATACTAACCCCTGGCATAATTTTCGCCTCTACATCATTCATAATGTCATCCCATGATTCTGGCTCGTGGGGTGGTTCCGATGGTAGAAGAGGACGAAGATATCCTGGTCCAACGTCAGGAGTCACTCTTCGATTATGTATATTGCTCATAAATTCACAAATATACTCCACCATTTGTTTTCCACGCGTACGAAACTCCTCCACTTCCATTCCTGATGTATTCGGTGAATTTTTCATTTTTAAAAATCCTTTTTTATAATTTTCCCCCTTATAGAGAGAGATAAAATTTATTTTCGTCTCCAAAAAAAAAAAATTAATTTTTTTCTAAACTTTCTCTAAACACACTTTTAAAATTACAATAAAGTCATAAATAATATACTTTTCAGATATAACTGCAACTTCACCTTTTACACAAACATTATAAACTTATTATTTTTTTTTTCAACACTTTCCGCATATTCACAAAATAAATAACAATACACGAAAACAAAAAAATCTTCATAAAAAGTGTTCTGGACTTAATATTTCTATTATACTTTTTCAACAAATAATTTTCTATATACTTTTAAAGAAAATTTTGACAAAAATTTTGAAAATTCAATTTTGTTTTATAATTTATTTTTTTAAACAAAAATTTATAGTAAAACAATTTATAAGTTTCAAATAAATGAAAAGTGAAAATTAATTTCTTTAAACAAAAAAAAAAAAAAAAAGAAAATTAATTTTTAAATAAAAATAAAATTATATCTAAACGGAAGAATTTGAAATTTATCAACACAGTAGGTGAAGACTGAAACGTGCGTGAAAGAAGTAGAAATATTTTTTTTTTAATTTTTGTAATTATTTTTTTATTTTTCTTGTCTCCCGAGTGTCTTCTCCTACCTGTTGCAGTGCGGATTGTGGAGTAGGACGTGTACGTATGTTAAAAGAAGGAGCGGACACGTAGAGGGTTTGACGAAGACTCGTTGGATGCCATGAAAGCTTGACAATCCGTAGTGTTAGGATTCAAACTAGAAGGAAAATTTCTTGACGATTCTGCGCATTCGCAAGGATCACAATTTATGTCTTTCGCGCTCTTCAAGAAGACATATACTATATATATATATATAGAATATAAGAATCGAGATCGAAAAAAATATATTTATATATAGGACATAGCAATTTCTGTCGATCGTGAACAAAAATAAAACTTCTCCACTATTCTCAACAAGTCGCGAACAAAAGATGCGATCCACACCCATCCTGATTTTTATTCCTTCTCGTCAAGTATTTCAAAATTGCCAAGGACAATTTATATATATATATATATATATATATATACTTTTTGCGCGGCCCCTCGACCAAGTCCTCAATGCAAATTTTCCACACGAAACTTCACAGCGTGTGTGAAAAAAAAAAAATTTCTCTCCTTTATATAAAAGAAAAAAAATAAGTCATAAGAGAGACTTCATAAAAATGTTTCTATGATGATGAAGAAAGAAAAATAGCTTTAATCAATTATACTCGAGGTTTCTTAAAGTTGAGGATATTTCGTGAAATTTTTATATATTGAGTGATTCTTAAAAAACAAGGCGTTTTTACTTCTCCACTTAATAATTTAAAAATTTTAATTAAAAAAAAATTGTGAAACTTTTTTCTCGTATGTTTTATGCTAATCGGCGAAAACATAATGGAATAAAGCTTTAGATAATTTTTTTGGACAAAGATAATGTGAAGTGGGGAAAATGCAAGATTTATCTTTCTAAAGATATTTCAAATATAAAAATAATTAAAATGACGGTAAATAATACTACCAGCCTAAAACGTTATCTTCAAAAATCGCATCCGAAGGATTTTAAGGAAATCTATTTCTTAGAAAATGAGAGGGTATTTTTAAAAATTTATTGAATTTAAACTAAAGTAAAATAATTAACTTTTAAGTTCTTCCTTTTTTTTAATCATTATTTTTACTATTATTTCATTGATTTTTTTCTATTTTAGATTTCTTTCAGGATTATATTATTATAATACTTATATCTCAGGTGAAACGATTCTACGGAAACTACTCCACGGAATTCCGTAAAAATTATATACGGAATTCCGCAAAAATTTCTGAAAAATTTTTGAAAGAAGTTCTTTTGTAATTTTGCGAATTTTTTATAAGAATTACACACATAATCTCTAGATACAGAATTGCACAAATTTTTTGTTGGAATTGCACAAAATTTTTGTTAGAATTTCACAACTGTACACTGAAAAAAATTTAGCCGAAATCCTCAACTACCTTTAGTTAACTGACTTGAAAGTAGTAAAAGAAACTACTTTTTTGGTTATTTTAACTATGTGCGTGTAGTCAATTTAACTATTTTTTATGGAGTTAAGAATTAGTAGTTAATTGTACTTAACAAAAGTAGTTAAATCAACTTCAAAAATTAGAACAATTACAAAATCTCCTTAACCCAACTAAATTCTTAGTTCTTTTAACTACTTTTTAATAGTCCATACAACTTTTTAAATTCAGTTAAGGACCTATTGAACTATGCAGGGTAGTTAAAAAGTAGTCAAATCTACTAGTTTTTTTATTGAGTGTATTTTTTACTGATTTTTTTGTAATTTTAAAATAACTGCTGGTGGATACACTGAAAAAAATTAGTCGAGAAATTCAACTACCGTTAGTTAGTTGACTGAAAAATAGTAAATTTCTTTTGGAAAACGTTTTATTGACCTCTCAAATAAGTTCGACTAGATATTAATTAATCTATCATAAATTCTATATTATATCCACCAGGAACATCATCGTCGACTAGTTTTCGTTATAGTAGCAGCAGTTATTTTAAAATCACAAAAAAATCAGCAAAAAATAAAGTTGTGGAATTTTATTGAAAATTTTGTGCAATTCTTTATGGAATTCTTCCAAAAAAATTCGCAAAATTACGAAAGGAATACTTTCAAAATTTTGCGGAATTCCGTATGGAATTTCCGCGGACTGATTTCCGTAGAATCGTTTCACCTGGGATATATTTATAAGGTTATAAATAACCAAATTTTAAGTCCTCATGTAACATGTTTTTAATTTTTCTATCAATGCCTTATCTAAGTCTCGCACAGAAAAAGTGAACTTAATTGAAATCCGATTAGAATTGGTTAATTAAATAATATACACTGAGAAAAATGTTTAGTCAGAGCAACTAAAATTTGGTTGGGTTAACAAAAAAATTTTGTTGGTATATTTAAGCAACCAAACTAACTGTTCTCTTAAGCTATGAGCTGAGAACGAATCAAATTATTTTGTTGTCGTAACCAAATTTTCGTTAGAACAACAAACGATCATTTAGTTTTTTAGACCAAACTATTTTGTTGTGTTAACCAAATTATTTTGTTGTCGTAATCAAATAATAAAGCGGTGATCTATAATTTTTTACTTTTTAGATTTTCTTCTTTAAAACGCGTCATATATTTTTATATTCTGAAAAATTTTAAATACAGTAAAATTTGTTTTAAACATTATGTAAAGTTCTTGAAAATTTGTTATCTTTGTTGTAGTTGCTATCTTGAAGGTATTATAATAGTTTAATACTTATAGCGGTAATATTATCAAAATATATAAAGTTTGATAGTAAAAGATTTAATTACTATAATCTACAAATTTCTCAATGAAAATGATATAGGATAATTCACAATAATGAAAGTTTCTTATCTATTGCATTATATTGTTAATTCGACATTGACTTTCAGGCTGATAAAATTTTATTACCCGTGTGGAAAAGTGATGTGGGCCCCCAGCGGGGGCCCTTATGGATCGCCCTCATGCCATGAGGGCCGCATATGGATGATCCATAGGGGCCCCTCATGGAAACGACATGCTCATCGATGAGGGCGCCCGCATGGGCGATCCATGAGGGTGCCCCTACGGGCGCCCTTATGGGCCCTCACGTTTGCCCTCATCTTGCCCTCAAGTTTGCCATAATGTTTTTTAATCAATAATATTAATAATAAAAGTTAATTAATAATAAATAAGCTTAAGTTATGAATAAATAACATATTTATTTAATAATTATTCAATTTTAAATTAAATTCTTACTCAAATTCAATTTATTAATTAACGTTCTAATTAATTAACTGTCGGATATAATTAAAAGTAATAATAAATTAATTAATTAAAAAATTAAAAAATATTTAATTTATGCATACTATTAACGGATATTTTCATTTTTCAATTAATTCATACATAGAATTAATGATTAAACGCAAACCTGAGAAATAAATAAATCTAACGCATGGGGAGAATCGAACCTACGACCTACGGACTATGAGTCTAACGCTTTACCAACTACGCTACGTACGCTACTTCAAAACGAATGCTAACTTCTTGATGCTATTTAAACTTCAAAAATACCTAACAAAGAAAAGTGCTTAACATCATTTAGTTAAAGTTAAGATATTAAATTATATTTTCCAATCAAATGCAATTTATAAAATATAATTAATTATATGCTTTATGATTATTATCATGAATCATCTCAGGCGAATTTTCAAAAAAGTGTAAATATATTTTTATTAAAAACGCGTTTTTCGTTGTTTTAAATCATTGGAAACATTCATTTTTTGTTGATAAAAAAATATTTGATTTTTGGACTTAGAAAATTTTGCTAATCGATCATGAGGGCGATCCATGCGGGCCCCTACGGTGGCCCTCATCTATTTTGCCATAAGTGTGAGTGTTATTTTCAAAAAAGTGTAAATATATTTTTATTAAAAACGCGTTTTTCGTGGTTCTGAATCATTATAAACATTAATTTTTTGGTGATAAAAAAATATTTGATTTTTGGACTTAGAAAATTTTGCTAATCGATCATGAGGGCGATCCATGCGGGGCCCCTACGGTGCCCCTCATGGATTCGCCATAAGTGTGAGTGTTATTTTCAAAAAAAGTGAAAATATATTTTAATTAAAAACGCGTTTTTCATTGTTGTGAATCATTATAAACATTAATTTTTTGGTGATAAAAAAATATTTGATTTTTGGACTTAGAAAATTTTGCTAATCGATCATGAGGGCGATCCATGCGGGGCCCCTACGGTGCCCCTCATGGATTCGCCATATGGATCAGCCCTCATGGGCCCCCGCCGGGGGCCCCGAACTCTTGAGGGCAAGATCGTGGCTTTTTCCACACGGGTATATTTATTATTATTATTATTTATTTTATTATATTTGTTATTGTTATTATTATTTTTATTACTATTGTTAATGTTATTATAATTATTATAATATTTATTATTATAATTACTATCATAATAATTATTATTTCTATTATTATTTTTTATTATTAATCATGAATTTTAAAATGCTTAAAAAAAGTGCAATATAAAAGACATTTTTAAATGATCAGAAACGCACGTTTTCACATGTGTTGTTTATAAAAAATCTGCATATTTGTCGAATCTGTATTTATAAGTCGCGTCATAATTTTATAATTATATTTAATCTTTCATTTTCGTAATAAATACGTTCTCTTTACGTGATAATTAATAAATTCTTCGAATTAAAAAAAAAAATGTAAAATTCAACTTTTTTTCTAAAAAAAATTGTTTCAGATATAATTATGTAAAGATAAGTTACTAATTATTAATACTCATATAATTTTCTATATATGATGTATTCCACGCTTAAGTGTAAGTCTATCTGCAATTGCATCTCCGAATTTTTTGAGTTTTTTTTTTCTTTTAGTACTAATTGAGACTAGCTTCCATGAATTTTTTCAAATTTTTTTTAGCAAGCCGTTTTCGAGTTATGGAATTTCGAAAATTGTGGAGAATTTTCATGACTTTTAATTTTTGAATGCTCATAACTTCCTTAAAAATGCATCAATTTTAAGTCTTTTTTTTCAAAATGTAATCGAAATTTTTTTTAAACGATATTACTATCAAATTTTTGAGTTTTAATGATAAAAAGTCATTTTTCTCATTTGACGTACTGATCGATTTTTTTCAAAATTTTT